GTTTCAGCTCACAAAAGCTATTGTAAAAGGAAAGATTCATTTGAAACCATATTCAACAATAAATGTTGCTGTACGGATTTTCAATTGCTGATATTTTCAGGGCCTTATTAACCTTCTCACCACCAGTTCCCTCTTTTCATCACAAATTCACAAAATAGTCCTGTTTATAGTCTGCACTTTCCTTCAAAAAACTGAGACATAAATAGACGAATTTTCTGAGTAAAAATTGAAATTGACTCAAATTTTGTCTGTTGGCTACAAAATTAGGGTTCATTTCCAAAAACTTTCAAAAATATAAAAAAAAAAAAGTGAAGAAAATTTTTCACGAGAAAGTCTGGTGGTAAAAAGGTTAAAAAGGACAAACTTGGACTAAAACAATTTCAAGATATTTACGACTTCCACAGGAACCCTATTCATGGGAATACATATAAAAAATGAAATACTGTATGAAAAATAAACAGCTTATTTTTAACAATTAAATCTTTAATCATTGTGACTTCATGTCTTTGGTTACAAAATTTCTCGAAATTTACCAACTTGCGAAATAAACACATGTTATAGTATTTTCAGAATTTTAAGCGGGAGGGTGTCACATACGCACATGCAGGAATTGAGTCCCAAGCGACGATAACAACCCTTAAAAACGCTAAGGCTCATGGGTAGACACTTGTTAGTAAACAATGACACGCTATGGCCATCTGACGCATGCGCAGGTGATGACCTCTCACGCTTTAAGAAACTCAAAGTCATAACAAAAAATGTGCACATAATCCCGAAATTGTGTTCCTCGTATGATTCAAGGGATGGGGAGAAGGCTGACACAGCATGTTTACAGAATACTTCAAAAGAGACAAAAGTAATGTCGGCAAATTCTACAGGTTTTTAGAGATGGGGAAAACAACAAAGTCTATTAAATATTTTAAAAAGGTTGAGAAAAGATGGAAAATTCTCCAGGTTAAGAGATGGGGAAAAACAACAAAGTCTATTTATTATTTTCAAGGGGTGGAGAACAACTGGTAAATTCTTCAGAAGGCTTCTAGAGATGGGGATGGGACTGGGGGTAAAGTTTTTACAGAATATGCAAACACTACAGCTATTAAGAGATGCACCTTTAAAATACACAGGCAGGGGAAAAATTACCAACTACTTCTAAAGTTTTCCAGTGATAGGAGAAACCCCCACAAAGTCTACAGATTATTTCAAAAGATGGATGAAAGCTGGCCAATTCTACAAAAAGTTTCAAGATGCTGAAGGAAAGCCGACAAAAACAGCCAACTTGAACAGTATTTTAACGACAACAGAAGCACATATTTGTATCGACACCTTTGACATATGCTTGCTACTGGGCATGGTATAATCTATGAGTTATTGCAGACCTAGTTATTCCCTGCTGCTATGACATCTACAGGTTATATACAGAGCACAATTCAACATCTAGGCAAGTATCCTCTATGCAATGCAAGGCTGTAATAACTAAAAAAAATTCCACTTTATTGAAATGGTTCAAATTCCTGAAGGATTTAAAAAGGTTAAACATAATCACGATAAGTAAAAACAATAAAATAATTGTTTTCACTAATATTTGTTTTTATGTTCAGACCAAGTGAATTTCACATACCAAATACAAATTAAAGGAAAAATTATGTGGGTTTATTTTGGGAATGGTGTCAAAGTTGACTTTGCCATTTATAGTATTAAAAATAAATAACTGCCAATACATTTATTTCAAATAACAACAGTAATTGATAAAATTTATCAACTAAATATTTAAATTAATTAAATCAACTATTAGCAATAATGATGGTTATAAAATCCAATAATTATTTTTTACTTGTTCTGTCACACTCTTTAACTTGAGTGCTCAACCATTAGAAACTCAAGTCTTGATTATTTTTTTTAAATACTGTGCAGAAAACATCTTACAAGGACAATTAAGTAACATCATTGTTGATATAAAAAAAAATGTTTTAGACACAAAAAATATAATTTGCATATTTTTCTTATATATAGGGCCCTCCCAGAGTTTTAATGGTCAACCCCTTATTTCCGCATCATTGTGCAATTCTTTAATTGAACAATATGGATAGCATGCAAACCATTCCAAGAATGATAATCAAACCATGCACAATAAACTACACTGTATAACTGTTCATAGGGTATTTCCAGTTTCTCATGAGATCTTGAATGGAGCAAGTTTAGAATGTTCAGTAACATGTGACAAAGGAAACTTCCTTGCCATACTGGAAGCGTTGTCATAGCAAGCTAGGTTATTTAGCATCCATTTTATTATTTCAGAAATTGCTTCCTGGTCTGAGAAATGTTTTAAGTTAATTGATAGCAGAAAGGATATCATGACAACATACTACCAACTAATTAAAGAATTACATTTGTTCAGAACTAATTTCGTTTTAATTGTAATATAAACCAGTTTTAAACAAATAGTCTAATTTTAAGATTTAATATTCTTTTTTACTAGTGGTAAAGCACAACAATGATCATGCTGCATTACATGATTTTTTTTTTTTAGAATGTAGAATACAATTGATGATATGCAAAAGATCTCACAAGAAGAGGAAAATATTTTGTTATCAAATTTTAGTCATTTAATTTTTACACTTAGGACTATGATGTGAAAAATTTGATGGCCTCAATCACAACAAATGTTTAATAAATTTCATTGCATTTCAGTGCAGTGTATCTGAATGTTGGGAATCATTAACAGCTTTTCATCTGACTATGTTCAAATTTAATTTGTTTCTGAATAGTGTTCCAACGTGCGTGATTCGCAACGTTCAGTAAAAATCATTAATAATTCCCACCATTTGTGCATATGTGAACTATTAAATACAAAAAATATATTTCATATAATAACTCCATGATCTCAGTATGTAAATTTAAGGAAAAGCTTTCAAGAAAATAAAACGTCTACTTGCATTTAGTGACTCCTTACAATTGAAATAAAAATTATACATTTACATCTTGCTACCTAATCAACAAGTTTGCAATAAACCTTCACATTGTTTTTTGTCCCAGAAACAATCAGCCCTGACAGCAACAAAGTATGGACTGGTGCGTACAACATAAAATATTTGTAGTATGTCCACATACCATTCATGATAGACCTGTCAATTCATGTTGAAGCCAGGTGAAGCATTCTGAGTACCAGCTGTTTGTGAAGTAAAAGACATCGGTGTTTCCCTATTTGAAAACTGGGGCTAGGCTGGAGTAAAACAGAATTACTTGTGGGTAAAAAGAAAAATGTCCACATCTTTTTCTATCCCAAAGAAATAAAGCTTGTAGATCTGAAAACAATTAGTATGCAAATCAGTCATAGTTAGAAGGTCAGGAAACTTTGGCAGCTAATTAGTATGCAAATGAGTCAATTAATATGCACGCTTTTAAGGTCACAAACTACTAGATAAAGCTAGGTCAGGAAAATGTTACAGCTAATTAGTATGCAAATGAGTCACTTAATATGCATACTTTTGATGTCACCAACTCCTTGATATAGTTTGGTCAGGAAACTTTGGCAGCTAATTATTATGCAAATGAGTTGCTTAACATGCTCACTTTTAAAGTCACTAACTACTAGATATAGTTAGATTAGGAAACTTTGGTAGCTAATTAGTATGCAAATGAGTCACTTAATATGCACACTTTTGATGTCACTAACTCCTAGATATAGTTTGGTCAGGAAACTTTGGCATGGCATCTAATTAATATGCAAATGAGTCATCTAATATGCACACTATTTTTCTCATAGGCTGAAGCTGTTAATTAGTATGGAGATATGTCATTTACTAATCTCAGCAGGAGACATCAAACTAATACTGGGGGACTCAGACACATTGAGTATAAATTGAAGATCACAGTGGGATTGCCATTCAAATAAATTTCTAAAAGGCAAATGTATGTACTGACACATTAAAAAATGTCATGACACAATTGATGGTGTGTCAGATGCAATGTCATAATGCTAAATGACCACAATTAGCCGAACAATACACCCTCGTGAAAATGGTTTGAATTAGCCAGCTCTAATTATGTAAAGATCACAAGATACACATAGCAAACCAGTCAGCAATATAACTGGCAATATTGTTGTTTTTGGTGTTCGGAACAATATCATGGTGACAGTAAGTCTACATCTACAACAAGGCATAGAAATATTTTAATATTGTTTGATTGTAAAGGAAATTCATCACTTCCTATTTACTTCCTCTGAAAGGAAATATAAAATATTCAACATTTCAATTTCACAAATATCAAGATTGAGCAAAACACAAAAGATACCGATACACTAATTAAGTATACAATAACACAGGAAACATTAAATATTCTCATTAATGTCAAGTCAGTAAATATTAAACAAACCTGAACTACATTTTTTGCCAATTTATTCATACTTTTTTAACCATTTAAAACTGAGTAAAAATTATCTTTGTGAACATTCGTTGGAGAATATAGATTACATAATGACACCTGGGCCAAATAAAAGGTTTTATCTCTTGCCATAACATGCATCGTGATATGCCATAACATGCATCGTGATATGTTTTGTCAGAGTAAATTAAACAGATTGCAAAATATGAAAAATATGCCAAAACAAACACATATGCCTGTGTTAATAACATAAACATATAACATTGCTTGCGACTTTACTCATATGATTTGGTTGTTATATGATGTCATATATTACAGGACTACTGATTCTACAACAGTGTGACGGTTTCTATCATATACAATACTGCTTAACTTTGTACTCAAAGCTCAGATTCTCAGATCAAATAATACACCACTGTGTACTCCTGTACATTGTTTACCAGATTTAACAGAAGTCACTTGTTATGAAATGCATCTGGATATCATCAATATTCAGCACCAATAGATTTCAATTAAGATACTGGACCATGTATTTGTATTACTAAGCTGTGAGTCAGGAACACTTTGTACGAATATAAAAATAATGCAAATTACAAAAATATAAACACACAACTCACGACCATAACAAATATATTCATAACAAATGGTAGTATAGTGGTTATTGTGCCAATAGGCAAGTAGATCCAGCAATCTATCCTATCTAGGACATGACCACCACTGGAGACACACACTAAAACGAGAGACCCAAGTTCAATTTTGCACCAAATGTGCAACCTTACTAGGGGTCCGGGGACATGCTCCCCCTTAAAAATGTTGAAATATGAGGGGTAAATTTTGCTGAAACAAAGCTTGATTTTGGAGGGGAGGACCTAATTTAGCCAATCTTATTTTAATTTAACCAATTTATTCTGCGAATATTCTCAAAAGTATTAAAATTCAAGTTAGCAAAATTAACATGCTAATTAAAAAGATGTGTTTTACATTACATCCTGCTGGCGCCATGAAATTCAGGAAATCCAACTGTTAAGTTGGCAACCGAAAAATTATTAACATATTTGCTACATTATAATAATTATAAACACAATAACCATAATATGTTTTTGTGAAATCGAATATACAGGCACCAAACTCAAAATGCGATTTTCTCTTTAATAAACGCCTATCTTGGTACATCTACTGTGACATCTTGGTATTTCTGTTGTGACACCTGTCTTGACATATGTCTTCATACATATATCTCAACACCTGTGATTACATCTGCCTTTGCTACTGTCTTGATACATATGTTGCAACACCTATCTTCACACCTGCATTGACACCTATCCTGGCACCATTTTCCTACCTGCTGTGACACCTGCCTTGACACATGTTGTAACACCTGTCCTGACACTTGTTTTGATACCTTCTTTGACACCTGTCTTAATACAATCTTTGACATATGTCGAGACACCTGTTCTGACACTTGTCATGCTACCTGCCTTGACACCAGTCTTGACACCATTTTTTCTACCTGTTGTGACACCTGTCTTGATTCTGATCTTGACACATGTTGTGACACCTGTCCTGATATCTGTTTTGCTACCTTCTTTGTCCTGGGACCTATTTTTCTACCTGCACTGACACCTATCTTGGCAATTATTTTTCTACCTGCTGTGACACCTGCCTTGACACCTGTCTTGACACCTGTCTTGATACCAACCTTGACACATGTCATGTGACCTATCCTGGCACCTATTTTTCTACCTGCTGTGACACCTGTCTTGACTCCGACCTTGACACATGTCATGACACCTGTCCTGACACTTGTTTTAATATCTGTCTTGATACCTGCTTTGACATCTGTTTTGCTACCTTCTTTGTCCTGAGACTTATTTTTCTACCTGCATTGACACCTATCCTGGCAGCTATTTTTCTATCTGCTTTGATACCTGCTTTGACACCTGTCTTAATACCAACCTTGACACATGTTGAGACACTTCTCCTGACACCTGCTTTAATATTTATTTTTGCTACAAGTCTTGATAAGCTTATAACCTTGACTTAACCATGTGGAACACCAATAAAAACTCTTCAGACAGCAATCAAAGATTTTTTTTTTACTTTTAGCGTTTATACTCACTTTAAATTACTAGCAAAAAAAATAATTTGCCAGATTGAGGGTAATTTCATTGGAATTCGCGTAAAAAACGTGAAAATCCCCAAAAAGCTAAATAAAAATATAATTTGATATTCTTCAAGATTAACGTTATTTATTTAGGCATTGACTTTACAGGAGGTGTATGATAGAGGCAATAACAATGTAAAGGTCCTACAGGGCTTAAAACATGCCCACTTACCTAATTGAAGATGGACACAATTAAAATTTAAAAAAAAAAACTAGAAATTCTTGATTTTGCTGAGTGAATGGTTGCTTTGAACAAATGACAACAAACAAATACGAATTTGGGGTACCCAACTTGTTTCCATGGAAACAATGACTTTGCTATTTCCCTATAGTCTTGAATCCAACTTTAGTTGCCATTTTGGCTTGAAAATTAAGGTTAATAATTTGAAAACTAGCTCGTTTTTTTCTTCAGAATTTAGAACAGCAATGTAAATTATAAAATTAATTTCAGAAAAGTCCTGTTCCAAAAGTGTGTTTGGTAGCCACAACCATCCTTAATTCCAGTATTCCAGCAAGACATGTAACCTAAATAGGATTTAATATTTTGACTGATTCTGACACTGTGTGATATAGAACTTGACCTTGTTTAAGCTATGCCAATATTTGTGTCAGTTTGTGATTTGAAAGCAGCAGGACTTTCATAATGAATGGGTGTGGTCAATCTTAACCTTATGGTGAAATAACCCATGAAAAACAGTATCAAAGTTTAGATGTATAAAACTCCAGTATTGTAATTCACTCATTACTGATTATTATAAATGTTGTTTCTTACATTTAAAAAGTATTAATATATAGCTTGCTCAGAGAATGAAATACTGCTAAAATTTAAAAGTCTACACCAATTTTTACACGATCTGAATTTTTCACTTATGAATAAGTATTAAGCCAATATAAACTTCATCAAACCAAATGAGTAATGTGTCATGTGTATATTTACAATAGAATGCAAATAGCTGGAAAATTGAATTCATTTTTTAACCAAAAAAAAGACATTTTCCACTTGTTCAGATGGTATTTCATACGCGTGGAATGAACAATCCTAACATTTTTAATTATACCCCACCCATATTCAATTTTCTGTCACTATTTAAATCAAAAGAAGCTTAGAAAGAACTCTTGTGTGCTGAGAGTATTGAAGGCATATTTAAAATAAATTAAAAATTTAAGATTAGCCTTTCAAACAAGAAGTTTGGAAACTACCGTAATACTGGTCTGTTATTTAAGATGCAAAATGTGAAAACAATTACAGAAAATTAATCTGATTGTACATTGCACTACTACCACTAGTTCAATATAATCTGATTTTTTGAAATATCCGATATTGGCTAAAAAAAATTAGATAATCATTATTCATGGTTTTCAACATTACACTAATAACGTCTTTTTTGGATTACCCCAGAGCATCTACAAAGTTTCAATGAAATCTGAGGATTATTTATATTATGCAAATTGGGTAATTAATATGCATACATTTCAACCCAAAACTAATCAGGTCTGTTCAATGCCACAGAATATGCATGTACCAAGTTTCATTGAAATGTGACGATTGGTACTTGGGTTGTCAATATTGATAATTATTATGTAAAATATGTAACTAATATGCACATATTTTTACCCAAAACTTAATGAGGTCTGCATGTTGTCCCAGAGCACATATGTACCAAGTTTCGTTGAAATCTAACCAGTGGCTCTTGAGATTTCCATGGAACATACATACACACACATATACATTTAAGATGCAAAATGTGAAAACAATTACAGAAAATTAATCCGATTGTACATTGCACTTCTACCAACCACTAGTTCAATATAAATCTGATTTTTTGAAATATCAGATATTGGCTAAAAAAATTAGATAATCATTATTCATGGTTTTCAACATTACACAAAAAATGTCTTTTTTGGATTACCCCAGAGCATCTACAAAGTTTCAATGAAATGTGATGATTATTCATATTATGCAAATCGGGTAATTAATATGCATACATTTCAACCCAAAACTAATCAGGTCTGTTCAATGCCACAGAATATGCATGTACCAAGTTTCATTGAAATGTGATGATTGGTACTTGGGTTGTCAATATTGATAATTATTATGTAAAATAGGTAACTAATATGCACATATTTTTATGGGGTCTGCATGTTGTCCCAGAGCACATATGTACCAAGTTTCGTTGAAATCTAACCAGTGGTTCTTGAGATTTCCATGGAACATACATACACATATATATATACATACACAAAGACTTCCATTGTGTGCTTTGCACACTGGAGTAAAAAACTTTGAAAATAATTGGCAAAATTTAAACTCACTCTAAACATTCCAGCATAGCTACTTGATTACTGTAGTATACAATCATGCACATGTATCCTTATAGGAAGGGATCAACATGCAGATATATCATGTTTTAGATATTTTACAATAGATTCAGGGTATAGACCCATATTTCTGCAGGGGGGTTCCACTACATACATCTTGAGAAAAAACAACTCTTGAAAAAAATGCTATCCTACCAACAAAAAAAATCAAGTAAATGATTTGCCAAAAAGTTCCCCCTTTATAAATATTGGTCTATTTAACTGCTTTTAATAGGGAGAGCAAAGACTCCCTGTTATTAGTGAATGTAGTAAATCAAGGTTTTTTAACTAAATATGATTTTATATCTTAAGATAAATCAGAAATAAAAGTTATGATGTATATGAGAAATGTTTGGCATTTAATGTTTTCTGTTCTCAATTATCTAATTAACTATTACGTCCAGGTTAAATGGATTTATACAATCAACATATCCCCCCCCCCCTTTGATATGATGCATATAGTTAATGGCCCCAGCAGAAATATTGGTCCATCCCTAATTGATCCACTGTTTATACAAAGGAGGGCTAAGAGTTGTCATTCTGCATGGTTGTATACAAATAAGATGCGTCCACACATATGACATGTATAGATCCCCCAGCTGAAATATTGGTCTACCCCTAATGGTTTGTTTAAAGGAGGGACACAGCCTTGTTGGGCTGCATGGTTTTATACAAATAAGATGCATCCACACATATGACATGTATAGATCCCCCCGCTGAAAAATTGGTGTACCCCTAATGGTTTGTTTAAGGGAGGGACACAGCCTTGTTGGGCTGCATGGTTTTATACAAATAAGATGTGTCCACACATATGACATGTATAGATCCCCCAGCTGAAATATTGGTCTACCCCTAATGGTTTGTTTAAAGGAGGGACACAGCCTTGTTGGGTTGCATGGTTTTATACAAATAAGATGTGTCCACACATATGACATGTATAGATCCCCCAGCTGAAATATTGGTCTACCCCTAATGGTTTGTTTAAAGGAGGGACACAGCCTTGTTGGGCTGCATGGTTTTATACAAATAAGATGTGTCCACACATATGACATGTATAGATCCCCCAGCTGAAATATTGGTGTACCCCTAATGGTTTGTTTAAAGGAGGGACACAGCCTTGTTGGGTTGCATGGTTTTATACAAATAAGATGTGTCCACACATATGACATGTATAGATCCCCCAGCTGAAAAATTGGTCTACCCCTAATGGTAGAACACAGCCCTGTTGGGCTGCATGGTTTTATAGAATCAACATACTTTTGAACATAAGACATATATAGAAATATTTTCATTTGTCTACTTGACAACTAAATCTACTGATAAATTAAAAGTTAAGCATAAAATACAAGTATATTGTTTAAAACTATGAGCTGAAAAGGCAGTGGTCGTCACGAAATTTATGTGCAACATCTATGTCGATAAACATTGATTTTCCCACAATTCAATGCGCTTTTTTTATGAAGAAGTACGAGTTACTGTCTGTCGGTGATGCTTTCAATACTGTCCAATCACCAAGGAAATTACATAGTTAAAGCTTTGGTTGGTCTGCGCAACAGTCAAAGTCACCATCTTTGTTTGTATGATGGGTGCATGGTTGGTGTGACAACCACCGCCCTTTAAACCTCAAATGGATATATCCATGATAAAATTTAACCCTGCAATAAGGAATTAACATTTCTCAATAGTAAACACAGGTCAGAAAAATAAAGCCATTTTCATTTTAGCAAAAACAATTTTTCAATTCAGTAAATATTACACGGGAGTCCTGAAGAATTACAGTGACTTATTCTCTAAATTACATTAAGAATAGTCATGGCTATTGAGGACAGAAAATTTTCAGAAACTTTGTTAAATTATTCATTGTGACTGGTCATTTTAAAATCACTTTTCAATCAGTAAAATAGCAAATAGTATTTGTGAAATTTCTACATTTTTCACTTATTTATC